TCGATGTCAGACCTTTGAGCCGGCAACACGTGTCGGTACGTGAACGAGCCAAATATAGCACAACGAATGCTACAATGGCGAACATATTTCTATCCTTGTTCCACTTTCGTAGGGTCCGCGCACCAGGTTTCCGTCCCCTATATGAATCTACCTACCGTCATATCAGTCGTTACTCCCTTTTTAATCATTTCACCTTTCATGCAATCCATCCATCTCTTCCTATGCCTACCACTACCGGTGTACCGATGTATGGATGATGAATTCATGCTAATGGTCTTTAGCAATAGGATATTGAATTATTCTTCAATGTTTTCATCTACAAGTAATATTGTAATTTTCTTACATTTTTCTTGGATTCTCAGTATAATGACCCCAATAAGTTCATCATTTTCTTCATTCACAGCTGCTATAGACATTTTATCTTTCATCCATATACGAGCATTGTTGAGGAATTCTTCTGTCGCCTCTTTGTCTTTCTTTATGTTTATTGAACGATAAGTCACCTGTTAAAAATATAATGAATTTATCCTTATAATATAAATTGAATATTACCCTATGTGGACGGCCGATGGGATGAACATTTCCTCCAGTTTTGTATTACCAATTCTAACCTCAAAATATGGGATTCAAAACTTTTAACATTCAAAAGCCAAATGCGAGTTTGGAAAAATAAAATGCCTTTATAGATATGATATTCTTTGTAGCCAAGTTGACTAAATTGAATTCTAGTCCGATTTAGTTTTAAGCTTACCTCTTGATTTAAATAGTGTTCATCCAGTAACTGGACTGCATCATCATATCTTGTATCTTGTAGATCTTCGAATCTTATCCCGCAAGGCAACTGACACCAGATCGATGGTGCTTTTATTCTTTCTTCTAAAATTTTCATCTTTTCAATTTCTGTTTCTGTTTCAGTTTTTGCCATTTTTGCTGACAATTCAGTTGATTTGGTAAAAACTTATTCTGGTCTTATTCCTTGTACAAACGGCTTGTAAGCTACGTTACTTGAATCAAGAAGTTTTGCAAAATCGTTTCTTTTCCTTAGAAAATCCAAGATTTTGGCATGATTTCGTTTAAAGTCTTTTTATTTGAGACAGTGTTTAGAAATGTTTCTGGTTACGTTATTATGCGACAATTTTCAATATAAATCGTACGATGTACACCACTGTACAGGAAGAACGTAACACAATAAGTAAATGTGAATCGGACGTCTTCGATCGAAGACAGCCTGGTACCGAAAATAAAAATTACTCGGCGACTTTCGGCTATAAAAAAAACGAAACCAGGAAATCGATACACGACGATACAAGGTGAAAGAAAGAGGTCAACAGATATACAAAGGTTTCTTATTATTATCAGTTTGTCAGTGGATGTTTTTTAGGGATATTAATACTTTTTCTGATAATTTAAACATTGATTTGCCTTAAGATTCATTAAATAAATTTGTTAATTTTACTCTGACAGTTTTCCAATGACATTCCAAGCGATCACTAAACTTTCAATTGAATGTTCAAGTTGTTAAGGCTAATACTAATTAGGGAGATCAGGATTTGTCCACTCAATCGAGAATTTTATATTAAAAATAATGCCATCTTGTTAAAAATAAAACACTAGTTTTTAAATCTTAAATTAGTATTTTTAGTAAAAGTATAGTCAAGTACAAGGGGGTTTAAACATATGTTTCTTAGTCAAAAATCCCCGTTTAAAACATATCGATATAAATATATTTTGATCGGAGATTTTGGTCTTAGAAGCTCTTGGTAAATCTTATATTTATTTTTATCAGGTTAATAAACTTAAGTTTATGCTACATTGTCATAAAAATTTATTTAAGGTACGATTTTACGATTTTCAATATACATAAATTTGGTACTTTTACCTAAGCTTCGGATATAAGACGATCAATATAATTTGTACCCTTTACAACAGTGGTTCCCAAACTTATTTTGTCTACTGCCCACTTTGAGAATAAATATTTTTTTAGCGCCCCCTTATTAAAGTTTAAACAATCTTTTAATTCATATTAGGTCATGTTCACAAGTTGTTGTTGAGAGTCGAGAGCACATGCAGTCGTTGTCTAAGAGGCCTCCTAGCTAAATAAAATTACAAATCACCACCCAGGCCTCTACACAACGCTCCCATTTTATTTCTGGGTCTCTTACCGCCCTTGAGACCTGCAGCGCCCACAAGGGGGCGTTATCGCCCACTTTAGGAAAGACTGATTTACAAGATTAGCAAAAAAGTTGTTTTTTTTACAAAAAAAAAAGTTAAATGCATTTTCTATTTTATTCTATTTTCTGTTCACTAAATTCAAATCAGTATCATTGTACTTTGCAGAATTGAAAGCAGAAATTCTAAACAAGTTATTCCATGCGGACGTACAACAAACTTCGTCTATTAAACAATATTACTATTAAGCGAATTTCCAACAATAGAACAAAAGGATGCATGAAAACAATACTATTGAAAGGTAGTAAAAGTTTCAAAGGTTTTGTTGTTGCGGGATAACTTAAAAGGCAGCCAAGTAACGGCATAGATGAAAGGATTCAGTGAAGTTAGTAAGTAGTAATAAAATTACATTTCACTTACAAGTAAGATTTTTTTCTAAACAAAGATATTATATCATTATCTCTTTAGCTGTGTCATACCCAATATTTTAAAAACATTAATGTTTTAGCTGAAATTGGGAGGAAAATAAAGTATTTTTTTAATAAATTATAAACAAAATATTTTAAGCAATAATACAGCAAAAATTAATCTATGAATACACAAAAAATAAAACATGAACAAATAAATATTATAAAAAGAACAAAACTTTAAACAAAGATATTTAATAAAGTAATTAAATATGCTTCAGTCGTCAGAATAACTGCTTGTTTCGCGGCAGGTGAAATTTACGACGCTACGCGCTACGACGTCGCTACGTCGTAGCGCTGGATGCGAGTTATTATTTAAGCGGGTTTCAGAACCGTGACTTGGTCGTATGCAAATTTTAAACGTCTAATGCTAAACAAAATAAATAAAGAAGGATTACTTATTCTATTTACATTCCAAGTAAAGACATTAAATATAGTAAGGACATATAATATTATATATATATTTATTATAAATGCGAAAGTAACTCTGTCTCGTTTTGGATTTTTCGGTGAAAGTTCGACACTGTTGCATGCGTTGGATGAAAGCGATGGGAAAAGAATCGATCGATAGGAGGGGGCGAGGTACATGTAGCTTATAGAATTTCTCTACGAAGGTATATTACCTAGTCTAACAAGAGCTCCGTTGGCGCAATTTGTGGAACTTTCGACTAAACCGGTGTAAACGAAAGACACCGGTTCTGATCCGACATTTTCAGATATGGTAATATTATTTTGAACAAAATGTATATTCTTACTTAACATTCTGTCGTCTGGACCTCCGTTCGTGGGGAATTAAGAAAAACCGTTATTAGCCTATTTGTTCTTCCAGGCTTTGTTCTACATCTATGCTAAATTTCAGCGAGATCCATGCAACCGTTCTGGTAATACCTTCTAACAAACATCTATCTAAACAATCGCATTTATAATATAAGTAAGATTATAAAATCAGATTTTTAACATATTGTATTGCATTGTAAAATCTTACTAATATTATAATGTTTGGATGTATGTATGAATGTTTGTTTAAAGGTATTTCCAAAACGGCTGCATGGATCTCACTAAAATTTGGCATAGTCGTAGAGCGTAGTCTATAAGAACACATAGGCTACTTATTAAGTTTCTGTCCCACGCGGACGGACTTGCGGGCCGCAGCTAGTATAGCATAGATTCCGATAAAAATTGTTACTCTGTTTACACATTCAGTACAATGAACAAAATGATATAAAGAGATTTAGTATTCTCACAAAGATTTACTCGTCATCCATTTTTATAGACGCGCATATAAATCTATAACGATGATGCAACGATACACTGTCCCGGTGCATCGATACGTGCTATAAAATATTTTATGACCGTTGTAAAATTCAATTCAAATTGCAACAATAGTTAGAATTGCTAACGAATTATTGCTTCGAATATTCAATGTTATTTGAGTAAATTATAAAAATATAATATAATTTTATACCTGGCTATAAAAATATACTTGTAATTTGCAGTTGAGGACGTTAACAACAAGATCCATTCCTTACCTTTAATATTCAATTTAATCGGGTCTAAAACTCGGTATATCACCATAGACACTTTCAAAAGTACTTACTTTGGTCAATATAAAACGATGACCGAATTATAGGCTTAATAATTATGTTTTCACTCAAGAAATAATCCGTATGACACTTAATCTTATGTTACAATTTTACTTATATTATAAATGTAAATGTTTAGATGGATGGATGGATGGTTAGATGGATTTTGTTTGAATGTATCTCCAGAACGGATAAACGAACCTTTCTGAAATTTGGAATACTTATAGAAATAAGTCTGGATGAAGACAGGCTACTAATTGTTTTTTATAATTCCACGGGGACGTAGTCGCGGTAGATCGCTAGTCTACTCTTAGCTCTATGTTCACTGTTCATTTCTACAGTTGTATTAGTTGGACAAATTGAAAAGAATATGGCAAAGTGTGAACAGTAAAATTAAGAAATGTTACCATTTATTCAATTGCGGCGAGGCAATAATATTATACGAGTCACAGTTACGACTAGTCTAGAATATAATTTACATTTTCTTTTCTCTTCATTCTACAGAATATGAAAACTTCTTTATATTTCAATATATTTTCTGCTATGAAATAAAGTGATAAAGTATTAGATTTTAGTATAAGATATACAAGCATATTACTTTGGATAATAATGGATAAAAACAATTTTTTATCATAATTTAAATCCTAATATTTGAATTATGTATTTTTTTATAACATTAAAAATTCGAATCATCATAACCATCATCATGATCGGCCTATACTAGTCCACTGATGGATATAGGCCTCTCCCATAGCACGCCACTGAGCACGATCCTCGGCCACTCTCATCCAGCTATTGCCAGCTGCCCTGCGAAGATCATCGCTCCACCGAGTCTGAGGATGTCACTACGTTTGCCGAACCGTAGTCTCCACGAATGCTAATGTTAAGATGGATTGATGGATGGATGTTTATTACACGGTATCTCCAAAACATCTAAATGGATCTCGATGAAACAGCATAGATGTAAACCATAGTCTAGAAGAACACATAGGCTACTAATTAAGTTTTTTTTTAATTCTGCACGGACGAAATCGCAGGCAATATCTAGGCTTGTATCTAAATAAAAGTTAAAGAATTGATTAAAAGGTTAATTTTATTTTTCTTTATACTTTAAAGTTTTAACATCAAAGTGAAGAAAACAAGTCAATGTGCTTTATATAATTACTTTCGTAAGCGACAAATCACATCATGAAAGGCATCTTTAATTTACCGCTTTTCTTTGTTACGTAAAAGTTCTTAACGAAATTTCTTTTAAGAAAAAAATAAGGCATTTAATTCTTCAAATGGACGACATGACAGTATCTAAAGTTCATTAAAACTGTAAACAAGATGTGACTAGGGTAAAAAACTTTATAGCGATACGGACAAACTCTTGCTGATTTTTCGCGTCACCGTTATCGAAAAATAAAAAATTTAGTAACAGCATGACTCAAGTCCGTAAATCAGAAGGATAGGCAAAGACCACAGACCTGGCCGTGGCCCGGACACATATTTATCACTTCTACATACGTCTACGCATACTTGCACGTCGGTGTCAGGTGATCTTAATACCGACTTCCTATGATTAAAAAATATTTTCAATGATTGTTTTTGTCTTGACTTTAGACCTAAAGAGATTCAATTTAGAAATATCCTTTCCTTAGAACTTCTCAACCTACTATAAATCTGCGCGCAAAGTAAAAACACCTCTAAGTTTTTTTTAAATA